GGGGGTGATTAGTCTGCATAGAACAGGCTTTTACAACATTTTTTATTCTTATTTAATTCATTGTTATTAATGACATCTTTGTCATTTCTCAGGCTCTTGAAGTGCAGTGAGGCAGATGTCCGGAGCTGGAGGTTTCTTCCTGTTGTGAGGGAGTTTTTCCTTTCCACTGTTGCCTTTGTGCTTGCTCAGGATACTGCAATGAAAGAAAGACTCAATGCAATCTGCTGCCTTAGATCAAAATAATGTTAATAATTGAATTTTTCTGTAAGTTAATGTATGTTTCCAGTGCCCTGAGATAAGTTCTGCTGTGACTTGGTGTTATATAAATAAGTGAATTGGGTCTTGGCGGCGCCTCCCTGTGCCTGTCAGACAGCGCTGAGGGCGCAGCACTCACGCTCTGCTCGTATTGTTGTCAAACAGACGCGGTTCGGTGACGGTTCTGGATTAACGCTGTGCTGCAGAGACACAAGGGAGAAGATCTGCTCTCGTCCCGGCTTCTCCTCCTCCTCGGTGCCGCTGGATGAGCCACCAGAACCGGTGAGTGGGTCGGCGCGGCTCCGGGACTTTGTTGACACGTTTTACAATCAGCGCCATTTTCAGCCAGGTGCCTGCTCGGGCTTTAATTAATTATCTGCCACCATTGGACCGTTCGGCTGAGGACTGGTTCCCAGTGATGGAGGCAGCTTGAGAGCTCACATGTGAACAGTGTGCAGGTCTTTGTGTTCAATCAGAAACAGTAGTGTTATTACCTGCTGTCTCTGTACCAGGAGCCCAGTTCCTTTGGGTCGGAACCAGACCAACAAGCATCTCCCTGCAGGACTCTTTATTTTTCCGCACAGAGAAGACATGTGCGTGTTTTTGACACTTGGCGCAAAACGCTGCGCCATTATGATTGTGGAGCAATCCTCGCTGCTGTTTGGCCCATTTCAGACAGAACAACAAGGTTCTGGTCGTTGAAGGCTCAGTCTGGGTTTGTTATACAACTCAAGCCGAGCGGTCGTTGAAGGAATGCATGTCGCCCGCCGCCTTTCACCAGTTTGTTCTCAGTCCATCCTGAGAACAACTGGAGCTCAGAAGATGTGCTGGGAATGACACTCAGCTACTACCACCAGATCTTTCCTCAGTACTGAACCAGAGTTGTAGACATTTATGTGTATAGCTGTGGTGGCCATCTTGAATTGGACTGACCAGCAGTTCTTCAGCTGTACAGATAACTTTGGGTTGGACATGGGCACCAGCAGAGACCCACAAAGAGAATGGATGGATGGACGTTTCCAGTCATTGTTACTTAATATCTCCATGTGTACACCTCCACACACACAGGGTGCCAAGGGAGGAGGTGTGGTGTTGCATGAGGAAATCTGGAGTGGCAGAGAAGTGTGTTGGACTGGTACAGGACATGTATGAGGACAGCAGGACAGTGGTGACATGTGCTGTAGGAGTGACAGATAGCTTCAAGGTGGAAGTGGGAGTGCATCAAGGATCGGCTTTGAGCCCCTTCTTGTTTGCTCTGGTGATGGACCGATGAGGTCAGTCAGGAATCCCCGTGGATAATGATGTTTGCAGATGACATTGTGATCTGTAGTGAGAACAGGAAACGGGTGGAAGAGAACTTGGAGAGGTGGAGGTATGCACTTGAAAGAAGAAGAATGAAAGTCAGCCGTAGTAAGACAGAGTCCATGTGTGAATGAGAGGGAGGAGGTGGAACAGTGAGGCTACAAGGAGCAGAGGTCACAAAGGTGCAGGACTTCCACTACTTGGAGTCCACTGTCCAGGAAAATGGGAAGTGTGGTAAAGAAGTGAAGAAGAGAGTCCAGGCAAGATGGAGAAAAGTTTCAGGAGTGATTTGTGACAAAAGGGTGTCAGCAAAGGTCTAAGGAAAGTTTACAAGACAGTGATGAGACCAGCAATGTTGTATGGTCTGAAGACAGAGACATGGACAAAAAGATCATCAGAGGTACAGCACAGGTTGAACAACTGGGAGATAAAGTTAGAGAGGACACACTGAGATTGTTTGAACATGTCCAGAGGAGGGACAGTGGTTTGGACATGTCCAGAGGAGGGACAGTGGGTATATTGGTAGAAGGATGTTAGAAATGCAGCTGCCAGGAGAAAGACAAAGAAGAGATATATGGATACAGTTAGAGAGGACATGGAGGTAGTTGGAGTGAGGACAGAGTGAGGTGGAGGAGGATGACTCACTGTGGAGACTCCTGAAGAGGGAACAGCTGAAAGAAGAAGAAGAATATTTCTATTATTGATTTTTTAAATGTTATTTTATAGAGAGAGAAACTCACTGAGATTAAAACTCTCATTTACAAACTGTCCTGGCCAAAAAAAACACAAAGTTCCATAAAACAAACTTTAATAAAAATAGCAGTAAACTTAACAAAATAAAACAAAATCTCCACCTTTAAAATAGGGTTGACTTCACTTCATATAAAACACCTCAGTTTATTAAGAGCTAAAAGTAGCATTTAAATTAAATAAACGGTGAAACAGCTTCTTAAAATAGGGTCTGTACATGACCAAATAATATCTGTTCATATCAAATAAAAAACAACTTGATGTCTGTTTCTGAAAACCTTTTATACGTTTAATGAAAGCAGATGCTGAAATGAAATTGATTCCAGGTGGACGGGGCAGCGAACTGAAATGATTTTTCTCTTTCCTTTCTGGACTTTAGGTTCAGACAATAAGTCGTAGTCCCTGGATCCAGGTGAATAACTTGCAGTCTATTTACGATTTATATAGACGAGGAGAACGAAAGGAAGCCCAGTCTTATATCTAATGATTCAATCTACACATGGACAAGGAGGCTCATCCCTCCCGGGCGTACAGCACAGGGATGTGTCGAGGATCAGTAATAAAATGGAGCGCTCCACTCCTGCGACTGGAAACACTGAGATGACGCATGCATGTATAAAACTTCACCATCATTTAGAGCCCACGTATCTGAACAGAGAAACCTGTTCAAAAAGAGTATCCTGAAATGTTACAAGAGTAAAAACCTGTAATATTTTAACAGCTCTCACTGTTCGGACTCTTTCTGACAGACTTGATGAGATAAAATGGACTAGCAGACCTCGTGAGCATTTCTCTCACATTCAGATCTGCTGAACGAGGTGCTGGAATTACTGCCATTTTCTCTGACTCTTCCAGTTGGGAAGAAATTCATCTTGCCGTTTCTCTTCAGCCACAATGTTAGTTTAATACTATTTTTCCTCCGCAGAACTAAATCTGGGTTCTATGAGAATTATTTGGCCCAACGTTGTCTTCTTCTTTTGGCTGCTCCTTTCTTCAGGGGTCACCACAGCGGACTAACTCGCACAAAGACTTGGCGCCATTTTTACGCCGGATGTCCTTCCTGACTCAACCACAGCCTCTGTGTGGAGCAGAGAGCCGCCATCTAGGGCACCGGGGGGAGCAGATGGTGGGGGTTAAGAGCCTTGCTCAAGGGTCCAGGGTGGGGCAAGCAAGGTGGAGGCAGGTGTGGGTGTTTCACCTTTCCCACCCACATTTTGATGTTGGTCCGGGGAGTCGAGCCGGCAACCTTCCGATCACAGGCCCACCTTCTCTAACCTCTGCACCATCACTCCTCATATTTGGCCCAACATTACCACTAAAATAATCAAAAACTGTTTTATTAATTTTATTATTATATTTAAAACATTGAAGAGGATTTAAAAGAAAAACATATCGTGCCTGTTGGATGTTTATGTGTTTGTTTTTTATGTATCATGAAAATAAAAATCACGGCTGAATATTTAATTCAGTCACTAAGCCTAAGGATAAATTTACATTTATTTTAAATAAAATGTGTCAGCTAAAACACCAGTCAACCAGCTGTTTTGTTTATATTTATATTTAATTTATACGTCTAAAATAATTGTGCCTATATTACATCTTTACAGCTTTTTGTAAAGAAGTGATGTTAGCTCATTAGCCTCCGTAGCAAGCTAGCTGACATGCTAACTCTTGTAGCTTGTTGCAGATGTTGATTTCACAACAGTTACCTGGAAAAGAGAGACAGGTGGTGGACAAGCAACCTATGGTGTCTTTTTAATCAACCTTTATTTATACAGGTTAATCCCATTGAGCCTCGGGGACTCATTTACAAGAGACCTGAATATAATAAAATGTAAAAGCAATATAAAATATAAAGGTTTAAAATAGAATGAGAAAACATTGTCTTTGGTGTCTTATTAAAACGTGTTTAAAGTCTAGGAACACTTGACATCTCAGCTTTTGAATACCTTAGTTTAGTTATTAAGCCGTAATTGCCTGGAATTAAATTAGTGTATTACTAATGTCTGAAGTCTGAAGGGAACAAAACAGTTTGGAATTATTTTTTTTCTTTCAGATTATTTCCCATCCCATTTTTTAAAAAGTGGAATACCTAAAAATTAGTTGTTTAACATGTGAGAGTGCTTTTTCACACTGAATATATTTAAAATACAGAGATAGTCACTAGAAATCTTCATGTGCAGGTCCAGAGGAACTTCTACCTTATTTCTTAAGGCTGGCCGCTCATTCATTCAGCCTTTATTTAGACAGGTAAATCCCACTGAGCCTCGAGGACTCATTTCCAAGAGA